ATAAATTTTGAGCATATTAATATCTAAACTCTTGTATTTTCCATTTTTGGTGTCGATTTATTAATGTCTAGTCAAATCCATAATTCCAATGTGGATTGAAGATCATACACAGGCATAAAAAAGTAGCAGTTGCCTAATAGGTGCATCAACTCGATACAGTAGTGCCTTGGTTAGAGCGTTTTAGTCGTACAAGATATGAATGACACAGCAAGGTGGTCCTGGTCTCTGAATTAAAAAGAAAATGTATGGTGTGAAAGCGGCTCTCCTGGCCTTCTGCGCACCGCTGGACATATCGCGATACGTTCAACTGGGCATTGCTTAATTAAGAGAGATTAGTAGGAATCAAATTTTATAGAGTAGTAATAGTCTATAACTACCAGGATCGACCCGACTCGGCTCGATTCACGGAGAAACTAAGACGCATAGCGTCCGATCTTTCTTATAATCATATTCGTGCGATTATCTCCAAAATAAATAAATAATAATAATACCGCATAATCTACAAGTGGACTATTAAATCAAAGCTACCCGAAAATATTTCAATCATAATGGACTCTACACATTTTAACTTATAACCATTTTCTTTATGTACGATAAATTTATCTAGATCATTGTAAAAAATTAAACTTAAAGATCTCAAAGCTTAATCGTTCTTTGATGCTATGGATCGTCATAAAATTTTCGGACAGACTACTATGCTTATAAAATAAGTCGTTGTACATATTTTAGTTTGATTTGCAATGAATCCCTTAACAGATCAACTTGAATGATGTTTCATAGTTTAAAGATTTTATACCAATCTTCCCTAGGCCCCAGTGTTTCATTAATATTTGTAGACAAGAATAGAAAAGTTTGCGTTACGTAATGGAAGTTAGGCAAGCCAAACTAGTGCTTGCACCCTCCATTAGACCCCCCAAAAAAAGAAAAAGTTCCCTGTAGACTATAAAATAAGACAAATTTAACTAAATAGCTCTTCAAGTTACTGTATGTATGCAATCGATAACAAAGCGTAATTCATTTGATAAGACGTTTTATCTGTAATTGACAGATCACTTATTCAGATCATTATGAAAGATAAGTGAGAAATCATTACTAATTCTCAAAAAAAAAAAAAAAAAAAAAGTGCTATATGCAATGACTCTTTTTCGAGGGATCCTCCGGAACGAGACCGCGGTGTCTTTTATGATGCGCATGGCTCTTTTATCGTGGTCGTTCGGCGCTGCTTATTAGTAGTTGATTTTGTTGTCAATTAGTAATATCTTTGGTCGCTGTCTTTTACCTTTTACTTAGCGGATATTGTGCAGATGCATTGGGGAATCCGAGGAAGAGTTTTCTTTTCCAATAACAAATATTACTCCCTCCGTCCCACTTTGATAGTCCCGTTTTCCTTTTTCGTCTGTCCCAAATTGTAGTCCACTTTCCAATTGAAGAATGTAGTTGTATTTTAATTTTCCTAAAATACCCTTATTCAATGTAAGTTGTTGTTACTATAAACCTACCCCATTTAATGAAAATTGATTCTTTTTTTACCATAAACCTACCCCATTCAAGTTTCCATAAAGTTGTGCCATATTTAATGTGAGGGTATTTTAGGAAAATAGCAATCTAAATTTACTTTTTCAATAAAGTTAACTACTTTTTCTTAAACTGTGTGAAAAAAGAAACAGGACTATGAAAGTGGGACGGAGGGAGTATTATTATTCCTCGTGGAAAAAGAGCAACCCAAATTCAATGGGATGTTTGGAGATGACACATCTCAATAATATTCCGTTACCACTTTGTTCCAAATGGCAATGGACTTTCTTACGCAGGATGAAAAAAGAAAAAAAAAAAACCATAAGATGCGTTGATGTAACTTTCAATGAAGCTTCCTCATGTTTTTCTTTTTCCCACCGTAGGAGTTCCTTTGTATTCCACCGTTGCTCTTGGTATTCCCGGAAAAATCTCTTCCCCGCTAAGACTCATCATAAAGAGAATTAGCAATTCTTTTTATTCTTCTGATATCAAATTGGAATGTGGAGAAGAAATTAAGAAAGAAGCTAGAAAAACAATAAAACTAAAAAAAAAAATTCCCAAATATATTCACCCTTTCCATCAGACATAGTAGACGCCCCCCAGACAGCTCAGTCGATCATGCTTTCCTCTTTAGGCGCATTGTCCAACCTTGGACAACCAAGGTTCGAGTTTGCCTGGAGTTGCCGTGTCCGGAGTGGAGTGGGGCCTCCTCTCCGGGACCGCAAAGGATTAGTTGGGCCCCGTAAAAATTGACCCGCACACCTCTGTATCGACAAAAAAAAAAAAAAAAAAAACTAGACATACTAGACATGCTGATGCAATTCTTGAACCCCCACCTAACCTAACATGCACGGTCTACTGAAATTTACGAAGATTGAAAAGGACATGCACTTTCTTTTTTTCTTTTAAACTTTTTTGGTGTGTGGTTGCCCGTAGACTTTGCTTATTTTAGAACCTTGTCAAAAGCTTCAGTTTCTAACAATTGATGGCTTGGGATACATTTAATTTCACGTTGCGATAATGTCTCATTAACTTGTAAATTCCAGTACATATGCTTGTTCTCCAATCCCAGACTCATGATTCTTTGCTCCTTGGTAGTCCGACTACTTCCGTAATCTATCTAATAGTTATTAGCAGATCCCGTGATCGACTCCCCGTGTATTATTTCATCGTGTATTCTTGAAGTAAGACTCTACATAAATTTAGGGGATTAATTTAGCCGAAAGTTGGAATACTCCTGAATAAAAAAAATATATAAATAATGATTCCTTGAATCATTTTAATAACCTGTAGTAGATCGTATATCACAGCGATCGTAGTCAAGCTAACAAGACCGGCCACTTGCCTATGAAAGTAGCAAATATCCTCAGCCGATTGCCAAATATTATTCATTCGTCTTTAAAGTGTAAAACAAGAATCCACGGCACACACAAAAAAAGTGAAAAGAAGATGAAGAAGAAAATAGAAGAGGAGAGAGAATAAGATTATATTTGACCATAATAAAAAAGAAAAAGAATAAGATGCAAAATATTTAGAGACTTGTCAACTCAAGTACATTATGGTTAGTACAATTGAATTGGTGGGTGTGGGGGCTCTGGGCCGCCAGATCATTTGTCGGAAATTGTCAAACGAGCGGCTAATGGGTGGGCTACGTGTAATTGAAAGCGCTTCTCACCGATTGCATTGCGCAGGGTACCATCATGTTTAACTTTAACTTGGCAGTTTTATTTTACTTGCATTTCCAGGTTGGATGCGGGAACGAGGGACGTCGAAGAAGATTGTTGTTAATAACAGCCTCTGCCGTCAATGTGAATGGAGGAAATTCATCGGAGGTGAGTGGACGGGAGAGGAGGTGGTTCTTTTTCATCTGGGTATCAAAATCCTGCTCAACTCTGCTGCTCCTTACTCCTTAGCTCCGAGGAAGACGTCAATTTTCTAAGAGTGCTAAAACTGACTAGTCAATATGAGTCCCGAGTTTGGATCACTACTATCAACGAACTTTATCAGTGTTTCGACTAGTTTTAATTTATTCTCTATTATTACTGTCTAAAATACCTTCGTGCGGTGTAACTTTTAAGAGCATTCAACGACTTTAAATGGTTGAAATACCTTTTTTTTTTTTTCCAAAGTAGTACGGCAATGGGAGTTAGCAAGAAGTAAATTTAACTTAATTGAATAAAATTAGTACTCTCTCCGTCCCACTTTGACAGTGCTGTTTCTTTTTTTACACAGTTTAAGAAAAAAATAGTTAACTTTGTTGGAAAAGTAAATTTAGATTGCTATTTTTCTAAAATACCCTCACATTAAATATGGTACAACTTTTTGAAAACTTGAATTGATGGTAAAAAAAGAATCAACTCTCATAAATGGGGTAGGTTTATAGTAATAACTACCTACATTGAATAAGGGTATTTTAGAAAAATTAAAATACAACTACATTCTTCAATTGGAAAGTAGACTACAATTTGAGACAGATGAAAAAAGAATACAGGACTATCAAAGTGGGACGGAGGGAGCAGTAAAAAACTTGACCTTTCAATTTGCTACATGTAAGTCGAGCAAATCTCAAATTTGATCGGGCTTGCAAGATGCATATACAATGAATAACTTAGCGTGAATTTTTCTTTTAAAATATATTCCATTCAGACCTATTTATAAACGGAAACGAGATAATTGTCTTTTCAACGTAACGTAGCGCCATCTCTTTTTTTGAAAGACGATTAATTCTGCTTGTATGTTTTAGAGGAGTTGCTCAGGCATTGGATCTTTGATTTGTTTTTCATGCATGCTTATGCTACGTATAATTACTTTTTAAGGTTCGTTTCTTTCACAACTTTGTATGGCAGAACGTAGGCGAGAACGGGGCGTGAGGAACGATGATGGTTAATGACGTCTTACTTACAGAAAGAGAAAGGTGGCCTTTGAAAGTCATCTGTTGATTTCAACGTCAAGGAAAAACAAATACACAGGCAAGCAGTTCTTTTAATTCTGTGTTTTCGACCTTTTCAAGAGCATTCAAAATAAAAAAAAAAAAACAAAAAATGTCAGGAGCCTGAAGCACTTGGTCGAGAGTGCCCCAAATACTTGTTCACCAAAATACCTTTTCCATTTTATCAAATTTTTTTTTCCCATATTCGATATTTCCTCCGACAGGAGAGTACATGTTTTGCAGTAGTCAGCCGCATAAAAAGAACCCAATATTTATCTTCTATCCTGAGCAGGAGGGTACATGTTTTACAGTAGTCAGCTAACACGCCCATTTGAACTTTTTAAATTGACCCTGCATTTTATCTTAGAAATCATGCAGACAGACATATTTGCAAATTTAACGGCCAAATGTAACATAATGACCTTGCATTTTAACTTTATACATTTTAGTGGCCAAAATCAGATTTTTAATAGTTGAGTGATCAAAATTCAACGATCGCAAAAATTTATTGGCTAATCGGATAATTTGCTCCAATATTTATCTTCTACCCTGAGCATGATGCAAGCCCCCGGCGCTACTCATTCCTTGGAAAATAGGATCATTTCCCAACCAATAGTTGGTATTAGACCATATAGTCGGAAGATGGAAAAAGAAAAAGATGGAGGAGCAACGACATAGAAATAGAATACGTTGTCTAATGCTACTCAGTTAAAAGTCTTCAGAAACTCGAGTAGCTTAACATGGATGCCCGGAAAGTAGCCAACCTACCTAAGTGATCACTTCTACCTGTTACAAAAACGATACGGGGTTTAAACAACCCTTGTTTCTTTCCCCCTTGAGAAGGATGTTCATCCTGTTGAGCGAGTACAACCTCCAGGGAGAAGGAATTTGAACCTTTCTGCATTCTCCACCAAGTAAGCAGGAAGATGTACTGCAGATGCTGAACGAGGTACTGAACCCATTTTCTTGATAATTTCCTTAAAAGTATACTCTTCAGGTAACATGTCAAAAAGATCATCTCCCTGACAGATGAGCTTCTGAATCCTGGAGTACTTCAAAAAACTTCTGTGCCTAACTCGGTCTGCATGACTATAGGCAGTCATTTTGAACACAAACTCTCGCAGATACCGGAAGCAAAAGCTACAGTGCCATCCTGCATCGGACAGAATAAGATTGGATTGTCGCGAATGTCGATACCGGGTCCAGGGGTTGTAAATGTGGACTGTAGCACGCCAACTGCTATAGTCAACCGGGAATTCGAAGGAATACAGATAGTGCTTCAGCTCCAGATGTAAGACAGGAGGCACCCCATCACACCACTGCAGTAGTTTCACGGTGTGAGGACTTGGTATTTCATCAGTGTCCGACATGATGAGAAGGTCGCCCTCCGAAATACCTGCCCCTTGAAGTAATCGATTCATAGCCCCACGCTGCTCTGCTTCAAGATTAAATGGGTTTTCATGTGATCCACGCGGAAGAATGCGACCAGGAAATACGTCATGGACAACCTTTCCCTCTGCAAATGCAAATCGATCCCGATTTGAAGCAAAAAAGAGAGGTTTCGGGACGCCAGTGAAGGTGGTGTTGGCTTCCAAAATTACAAATTTAGTAACATAAGGAAGGAGTTCATGCCACCTAATTTCAAGAATGTCCACCTCATTGCTGAATATAATGCCATCAAATACTCGGCGCGGCTCTAAGCGCAAGGTCCAGCCATGAAGACGACAGAGTTGGCCCATAGAAATGTTCTCTGCATAATAATGAGGTAGGCGTTCAAACTGTTCTGGAGGTTGGTCCCAAAGTGGCCGGAAAAAATAGGAGATCTTCCGGCCATGGTTAAATATTCCAATAATGCTGAGAGGCACAAGTATCAAGAGTATTATAATGATATGTATACGTCTAGAAGGGCGTCTAGAGCTGAGGCGGAGGGGTCTTGGGGCCATAGTGCAAAAGATGCTGAGCAGGAGCAGTGCCTAACATGGCTCCATGGTTGCACCTACAGTATTCTGTAAGTTACCAAGGGTCAGGAGCCAGAAAGGTCGAAGATTACTACAACATCATTGTGCCAAAAGTAAACCATTCTTCAAATTCAAGATATTAGGCACCTTGAAAAAACAAACAAATAGTATTCATCCATATGCAAATTCATAGTGCTTAAGTAGGAGCAACCAATTGTTCAAAACTACTATCCTCAACTTTTGATCAATGCAACAGAGAAAATAACAATTTCCAGGATTTGGATTGGTGAAGCTTGGTAAACCATCAATTCAATAAATTCATAGTTAGGAAGGCTTTCAGGTAGAGTCATCCCTAATGCCCGTTGTTTTACCTTCACTGGCCCAAATGGACATTATTCTGCAGAATGTGCATCGTTCTGACCATCACAAAGTCTACTGTTTGAGGTGCTGATTTATAAATTAACATCCCAAACCAGTCCGGTCCAGTCAAAGGTGGGTTCCCAATGCTAAGCCAATTTCAAATGCCTAATTTTCTGTACCACATAATCTACCAATATTTTTGAATCATTACAAAATTTTCCTTTTAAATATGATTTTGTCCTTGGAAGATCATGCAATGTCAGCAGTAAAAATGCATTCCTACTAATGATGCTAAATAACACTTAGCTATGTGATGTTCCATCTATGAAGACAATCAGATGTTACAAAATTTCTCACAAGATGCCCCTCCAGCTGGAGGACTTTAGTCTTGCTTTGGCTTTAATGTAGAGCAAATTGAAGGCATCGAAAGCTGTCTACTTGAATTAAATTTTGAAGGTTCCCTCTCACCTGTTGGGGCATCATTGATGTCATTGTTTTCAGCACGGCGGATTCTTATTGATCAGAACTTTCACCAAAAAAGATGAATATTCTGAAGTACAAACTCTTCATTTAAGTTTGGCTCAACTTCTTCTCCCTTTTCTCGCCATAAGATCTCATCAGTCAGAGGCCAAAACTTGGCCTGCAACACCACTGACATGGCTTGAGTTGCCCTAACCAGAACTCAATAAGCTTGTCCAATTCAATATCTATTGCTAAATGTTATTCCAAAATGTTGTATCTTTTCTACCCAAATACATTTCAACGACCTTATGTTATCTCTGTTGAGCTCTTTTAATTATTATATCAAATAAACTAAGCTACTTATATGCCCATTTCCATTTTCCCGTTTGAATGATCATAACTTTCAGAACATTTCTGGAAATTTTGTCAAATAAATGCCAGTACAGAGGGGCTTATACCAATGTTCAACCTACAATCTTCAAAGGCTTATTTTGTGATGGGGGAATAGTTCAATTACCATTCTGAAAGCATCATTGTAATGCAAATCCTATACATACCATTTCTATTTCCTCGTCCTGCTTTGCTTTTTTTAAGAAGCATCACACACCACATTTATCTGCAGAAAGTCATCAGCGAGGCAGCAAATGAGCCAGAAGCAGGCCTTCTTATAATTAAACTCTAATAATTTTTCTCTATTGGTTCTTAAGCAGTTTGATGGAGGAGAAGAAGGCAATAGAAAAGAAGGGATTTTAAACGAGGTTATTCCCATGCAGGCTTTGGGACTGTTTTGAGGTGTCTGCATCCTCAAATAACAATAGAAAGAAAGGGACATTGAAACAAGGTTAATCCCAAGTAGGGCTTGGGACCAATTTGGCAGTGCCTGCATTCTCAAATGGCAGTAAAACAAATGCATTCCATACTATTCTAAAACATCTTCTAATTTCTAGTGATGCTCATTCAATTGAGGCAAATAAATCCATATTACCCTACCTCATCCCTCTTCAAGATGCTTAAACAGAGCTGATAAAGGATTCACATCCCTTGTACTGCTCATATAGCTGCAGAAGCCAACTTTGATGTGCCTACTCTCACATGCATAAAAATACATCAGTTCTTCTGCATTATTGGAATCATACCTCCTAATCAGCATCATCATCAAGGTGCAAGGGCTAACATGCAAACCTTAGTATGAGAACACAATAATACCATCAGTGGGAGTACATTAAGCAAACACACTAGAACCTTAAAATAGTACTTGCCACGACATGGGAATGAAGTCCTTCACCATATCTCAGAAGCTCCTTTAGACAGAAGAATGTAAAATCAAGTCATCATCCAGAATGATCTGACTACATCAGATTTTATTGAATTCCTTGCTCCAAGGTTAATACAAAATCAAGCCTGTTAGTCAAAGTCGTGGAAACATGACCTATACATTCAAACTTAAGAAAAGAATGATGACAATTAAATCTGTTGGGCGTAATTCTTAAAGCAAAATAAAAATAATGACAATATATATATATATATATATATATATGTATATTGAAAAACCAGAAAATTTCCAAATTGCACTTAGTATAAAGAAAATGAATGTCATGTTGTAATTAATGTGGAAATGCTCTCCAACTTTTATGTTTACAAACTCCTGGGTATTGAATGAAGTGTTAAATTACAGAAAATGGGTTTTCATTCCTATTTCTCCTTCTTCGGTCAATCAGGTAAATTAGACTATCAATAAGGAAAAACCATTGTCCATAAGCCAAGGATATCTCGGTGATTAGTACTACTAGATTGCATTGCCTTAATTTATCCACTCATTTAATCCATCTTAGCAGCGATCAACACTATCAGATACTAAAATCAAGTAAAAGAATAAAATAGGAAACCAAAAGGTCGTCATTGAGTAGAAGTGTTGAAACTTTAATCCCAAAAATTTCCTCCTCCTCGTCCTTAATCAGCATTGATTTCAACACGCAATTAAGGTGTTCAAACCTAATAAAGACATTTACGTCAATCACAATCTTTGATTAAACCGGAAAGCTAAATCCGAAAACAGACGTAGTAATGTTTTTAACCCTTTATAGTAACAAGGAAAAAGTCAACGACGATAATTCGAATTAAACTGAAAAATCTAAAACAACCAGAAAAAACTATATACACAACATAACCACAAAAAGGGGGAAAGAGAGAGAAGTACCTCTCATGTGCGCGCACGATTTTTTTTTCCCTTTGGTTTCCACGAATAAAAGAAATTCCTGAAACTATAGCTGTAGTGGGCTTCTTCGTTTGAAAAAGTTAGCAGTAAAAAGATTTCTGGGGTGACTGTGTTGGATGCAGGTGAAAAGGGGAACTTTTTAAGGATGGGGAGAGGGTGTTTGTGTGTGGTGGGGGGGGGGGGGGGCCGGCCGGGGAAGGCAAGAAAGAACAAAGTTGAGTACGAGTAGAAGTACATAAAGTCAAAGCAGAATGGGATTGGGATGGCTGGGGAAGTTGTGGTTTTCAATTTGTTTTGGAATTGGGAGCTGATTTATAGCTCCTCTTCTGGGACTGAAAACAGAGAGCAGGGTAGGAATGAAGAGAGTGAAAGTGAGGAGGACGACAGGAGGAGGAGGAGGACGACAGAAAGCAGTGCTTATTAACATTGGCGGAAGTAACGGGGATTTGGGGTAGGGTGGATGTAGAGGAGTTTTCCCACAGCGGGAGCAGTGCTTGATGTTGTTGACGTAGCATTGGCGCGGCGGTTTCGCAGTTGGCAGAAGTTGACGTGAGGTGAGTTGAGTTTGCTGGTTACACGTGGTTTCAGATTTCGGAATCATCGACATCCATGTTGCTTGTTTGTGCTTCAATGACACTTTTACCCCTCCTCTTTCGTCAGATCCTTGTTAATCCATTCTTTAGTTCTCATCTCTCCTTGTGAGGTTTAAAATCTTTACTCTTTTTATTCTTTGTTTTTTTTGCTCACACAAATGGTATCACAGATTCTATTTCATCACAAGAATATTTACAAAGTCGGAGCAAGTGCTCCTACGTCATTTCTGGCCAAACGTCGAGTTAACTGTAGAGGAAAGGAATCCAAGTTTAGGCAATTTTTGCCATATGATTCGGCCGGGATTGCATTTTCCGTCATTTTTCATAAAAAAATATTATAGCGATTTAATGTATGTGAGGAAAAAAGATAATAGAAAAATGTGATCATACAAAACGACATAATTTTCTGACAGAAAATGGCAATCCAAAGAGGACGTATAGTTACCTTCCCTCTCTTCATAAAGGAAAGATTAATCCTTTACTAAAACTCCGCTTAGGTTTTTGTTCCTATTACTGGATCAAACGTACCACACACCTTGATCTTATTCACAACTTTTTTATCGTCTGATTGAATCATAATCCTCATCCAACCTTCCTCTTTGGCCTTCATGAGTGCAGTTCTGATTGCATTTGCTTCTTCAATCTCTGCCTTGCGACGTTTACTCTCATTTCCAACCCCGGTGCTTATTGCTTGCCACGATTCCCTAACCAACTCTCCCTCTTTTCTGATCCACAGCTACATCAGCGTTTAGCATAATGATGCCATGCCGTTTGTAGGTGGTGTCCATTTGACCTCAATCTCTAAATTTCTACTGTCTTCTTCTTCTTTTTCATTTCCCTCCCCCATTTTGTATAACTCTGTATAACCTGCCATTCTTGAATTGCCTTGCTCACTACTATACCTGGGCATTTTCCTTCTCTATTGAACTGTATGTGATTTCTGGACTTCCATATTTGCCACAAAATATTCACTATCAATGCAATATATTCCATTCCTTCTACTCTCTCATGAACTAAATCTTTACTTGAATAAGAACAAAAAAGTATCTTCTTTACATTGTTCTTAACTATTCCTACTTCCTCAAATCTTCTTAAATTTCAATCGTGACATTTTTTTTATCTATTTCGACGAACAAATATTTGCCTTCCAAAGATCTGAAGTAATTTTTATGAGCATAATTATATATATATACATAATTTTTTTTTGGTAGAAAAAGTTTGAATGAATTTGACTCTAATCACCATCACGAATCAAGACGTGCCTCTATAACTATAAATGCCTCTATAACTATAAATCACTTATAGATGATTTTTACAAATCACTCACAACACCACGAATCAGGTCGTGCTTCTAGAATTATAGATCACTTACAAAGAATTTTTACAAATCACTCACAACACGATCTCTTATAGATCACTCACAGCACAGTAGTTTCACAAGATTCTTACAGATCATTCACCAATACGGTCCTTACATGCGCACCAATTTATAGTAGGATTCAAACACACTATTTTTGTAAAAAAGTAATCCATCCTTGCTAATTGAGACAATTTGTGTTAGCTAATCTCATATTCTTTGTTTTGGGTTTGTGTATGTATGCTTTTTGATGCTGTGTATCCCCAATCCCAGCTCCCCCGCCCAAAGAAAAAAAAAAAAAACAATTACAGCTCTACGGATCCGACCAGTGAGACTGCTACTACATCCAGTTATGCCCTTCGTTTTTGGAATCGAGGAATTATACGTAGCAATTGCAAATGCAAGTCGCCTGGAATGTAATTTGACCATAAGATTGCTCAACTTGGTATTGATAATATGTTGATTAATGAGAGAGGTTGGCATTTCTATTGCCTAGCTACAACTCTTCTTCTCATGTTTGTTTGGTTAATCCAGATTCCTATTCCAAAAGGTTCCAAATAATAAGAGCAACATGTCTACAAGAACATCTAAAGAATCTAAAAACCAAATATCTTCTACACATTCCATCTAAGAAGCAAAAACATTTGCCAGATGATGATCTGTCACTGTTAGGCAACGAGTCGTAAACCACCAAAAGATGCCTATTCCACCTAATTTCATTTCAGTCCCTTTTCCTCAGCAATTTCAGACGTTGCACTGAAGTAATGAAATTTCTGCAAAATCAAGAAAGTCAAAATAGCCATCAGAATCTGTGCTTAACCATATTGTAATCTGCAAGAACAGAGGATTGGTGCCCCAAAAATAGCCAATAAATTAGTGTAAGAATAGGATTTAAATACCCCCAGTTGACATCTTCAGCTAGTAGCCAATCACCTTCCTTGTCTTGAAAAATGAGCTGGTAAGATTGCACACTTTGCTGACCTGTTTCCAAACAATCAAAAACAAGAAAATCTTATCAGAAATTTCACTAATTAGAGCGAGAAAATATCTTCAGTACTGATTTGTTTGCAGTAGCACATTCTTACTTACATTTACCAAACATGCCAACCAAGGTTTGAAGGAGTGTCTGATAAGAATGATAGAGATTCAAGTCCACCTTTCTAGCTATTCCCACGCCTTCCATTTTCACCTTCACGTACATGGAGTTTCTTCCCCTGACACCACCTCCAGCGTGACCACCACCATTCTCCACCGTTACACAGTTTACAAAACCACCAGGGCGGTTCTGCTGGCAAATCTTCTTCCTCCACGAATTAATTGGAGGCCACCCCACAAACCCACGATCAGCACTGTCAAAAACAACATCTAATTCAGCACATAAACATTGATGCCCACAAGAAAATTTTGTACTGACAATAAAACCTTGTGCACGAGATTAGGACGCCCACAGAGCCTAGAGGAATTACTTGTTTGTCGTGACAGAACTAATCTCAGGCTCATCCACATCATCTCCCTGGTTAGACTGCTCATCCCATACCAGCAAAGCCAAAGTTTGAGGCACGTGATCATCAGCATTTTTCTCCTCAAAGGCTTCAACAGAATTCCGTTTCTTGATGTTGCATTTCTCATTCTTTACTGGGCTTGCCTCAATTTCAGAGAAATTTAAATCGAACCCTTTATCAGGAATGCTGGAAAGTGCAAGTCCCAACTGAAGATCCATATCATCCAAGAGAGAACGAACACAAGCAAGCAATACAGAACACCAGTAACCTTTTTTCTTTTGGTGCAGAGGAAACAAAGACGTCTCGAAATCCGATACGATCTCTGTACAGAGAGCTTTAGCTGGAGAAGGAATTCTAGAGGATGTCGACTGTAGAACTCCCACTCGTTATATATAGGAAAAGAGGGCGGGGGGAGGGGGAATTTTGGGGGACAAGGGAAGGGAGGCCGAGAGAGGCGGTCGTGGACAGTAGCCAACTGGGGACGACATTTTCTTCACTCTGTCCTTCTCATTGCTAGACTTTTAGCCGACCCAATTGCTTCCGATGTTCCTTTTATTAGCCGACACAAGGTCTTCTTTTATCGACTTTCTTTCTATCTTGGTTAGCAATTCTACGCCCATTCTTTACTGGTGTACTTCACGCTCTTTATTTTGAGTTTACAACGGCATTGAAATGTCTAACAGAAATCAATTTTCTTTCCTTATTTTTTTTTTCTTTTTTCCTAAATCTAGATTGGAAAGAAATGGATGGATGTTTCTACTTGTTTGGAAATTAGGCCCGCCATTTAAACACCAAGGAAAGCATATTATGTATTATTCTATGCTGCTTGAGAACATTTTCAAGCACTGAATAAAATAAATTTTACTGGCCATGTGGAGATGTTAGACTCAAAATTCACAAAAATATTTTGCCTAAGGCTTCTTTTTTTTTTTTTTTTGGAGAATTGGTGAGTTTTATATAACAAAATAAAAATTTGCATCCTAACCGTCAACTTTCCCCTCTTATCTTCCTCTGCAATTCTAAGAAGATCAGGTAGAAAATTTGACTCAAAAATAACTTTATCAACCCTATTGAGATAACTAGCCATAAAGTCAGCAGATTGATTACATTGACGGTATACAAAAAAATATAGTCAGCTTGATTACATTGCCCAACACATTGAACTGGCATTGATGAATTGTCTCATATGAGAGTTACCCCTTTATTGTGTTATTTGAATACATCCTTAAAGTAGTTGCAGGATTGTTAAAAATTGAAACTTTTAACACTAAATTTCATTCAAATTCAGATAAAATCCTTATTAAAAACACTTAATAAATTCAATCCGATTAGCACTGTCCATCACATGAGCAGCCGCACCAAACCCTTACCCTTTCACGGAGAAAAGGGTTTGTTAATTTTAATTTTTTATTTATGTAAAAGACTAAAATGAAATCTAGATGCTTGGTCTTGGTGTGTTCCAATAATAATAAGAAATAAAGAGAAAAAAAAAAGTAGACTAAAGAAAGAGAGTTGAAAGTAAACGCTCTGTCCGGGGGTGAGGACACAATATGCTTAAATCAAGCGCGGGCTCCGGCTTATTGAAGAAACAAGGGGTGGGGGAGGGGAGGCTCTTTGAATTTTGATTCCTCAGCCGCATTGGGGGGATACACACCGTTTTGTAGACCAAGCGTCAAACTGAAGGTCCCACCTGTTGGGACATGCTTTGTTCGATCGGGAGGAGGGGCTGGAGCGGCTGTCAGAAAATCGTTCCAGAAAGTTCATTATCATGATTAGATTACAAAAAATTTATATGATACAAATCACTTTTTGTAATTTGATTTTTACATTGTGCGGAACCCCGCAAAAATATTGTTCTAATGTTATTTACTGTTATTTTATTATTACATCTTTGTTCAGACGATGTTATATCATTTGTAAATGGTGTTACATTTTTTCGAAACGATTGTTCTGACAACCGTTCCAACCCCGGATCCGATCGATTACATTCAGTGCACTCTGTCGTTTCATTTCCTTCCATTTTCGTCTTTGACTATCGGATTTGTACAGCAATCAATCCCCGGACACAATCCCGACCTCTCGAATCTTATCCATCGTTTTTGCATGCATGATATGATGCATTCAGATTTTGTGCACCTCC